GGGAGTTACCATATGTTTTTCTTTTAGTAAGAGCGAATTTTAAAGAGCAGTCACGCATATATATTTATACCATTTCATATGTTCAAAGCCAACGAGCAATGAACTTGAACCGTTGTTAAATCATAGGAAATTTGTTAGTAGAGAGAGATAATGAGACAAATGAGGTTTAGAAGATTGTTTTTTGATTATGCAAGAAATAGGCTAAGTAATTTCGTTATGGACAGCTAAGTTTAATCTTAAAGTAAAACTCGCACAGCATACGGTATTAAAAGATTTGGAACATGAAATCTAATTTTTTTTTTTTACTACGTATTAAAATCACTGGTTGGATCAACTGAGTTACCTTAATTTTTAATTTTATTTTTATCTCTGCAAGAATATTATAAAAAGTTATGGGCGATATCAAGCAAAGTTAATTTTGAGAACTGGAGTTTTCGAGTGCGGATTTATCTGTATTCCATAGAGAAAATTCCACCAGCCGAACAAAACTTAGCTGAAGCACTCTCTAACAAGGATAAAAAGGCTAAGACAACAATCGTCGGCCTAATAGCAGAATGTATTCGCGACAAGAAAACAGTAAAGGAGAGTGGTCTGCTCTGCAAAATACATTCGCTAAGAAGTCGGTTACAAGTTAGACATTGGTAAGAAAACAAATAGTGGTTCTACAATGAAGTCTGGTGATGAATTGCGGAAATATTTACTACTGTTTGATGATCTTTTACGAAAAATGTGGAGATACCGTTGCTCAACTTTTTGTCACGCTACCAGAAGCTTTTGACCCGTAGTGGCCGCGTTGAAAAATATGAATGAAGAAGATGATACGAAGAGCAAGATCCTTGTGACATGGATACTTCCGCGACATCTGCGTTTAGTGGTGTGAAGAAGTCGAAAAAATGCCTTGGTGTGTGTTTCCGCTGTAAGAAAAAGGGCCATAAACAAATAATTGCCGCGTTTGTCAGCGTTAGCTTCGAAGTCAATATGTTTCATGTCAGCGGTACCTGATGGTAAAATAATTACAGATAAGTCTGAAGATTTAGTATTCAAAATAGATTCTGGGGCGACGGATTACAAGAGTAAACATGATTGATGATTCAATAATCTCCAAAATTTGAATGAACCATTACCATAAATGTTGCGAAAGACACTGAAAAGAAAGAAAGGTACAATCTAAGGATATTGAAAGATACACCAATCACAATGAAATAAGTCCTATATATTAAGGAACTTCGGGATAACTTTCTATCTATGCCAAAGTTAACAGAAATGGAATATGCGTTGATTTTCTAAAAGTGTCATTATGACAGCTCCCAAGAAAGGAAGTTTGTACGAATTGAAGATAGGGCAAATGCAAGTTTAAGTACAACTGATTTGGGAAATTATGGCACACAAGCAGTGTGCCGCCGGAATTTTCAAAAAGTGTCACAAAAAGTCATTTCTTGAAAAAAGTGGCACATATAATTTTAAATGGTGGCACAGAAAGTGGCACAATTTATTTCACATTTTATTAAAAAAAAAAACAGTTTAGAACAAAACAACAAATTCATCTATATGTAATACTATATAGTAATATAGTATGTACATATTGCATATTAACAAGTAAAAATGTTGTAAGTTCGGCCGGCCGAACTTCGAATACCCTCCACCATATGGAACAAATTTGGCAATTTTCATAAAATTAAAATCCATTAAAAATTCTGTTAAAATCTTAAAAATACCGAATGTAGCTGTATATTAGGGTCAATAAGACGACGTGGACCTGCATACGCAACTTTTGTCATAAGCCTGCGCAGGCAATTTTCTGGCATTGGATGTAGTATATTACGAACTTCAAATAAAAATTTGAAACTATTCCGGTGAATAATGGCGCTAAAATCATCAAATACCGAAAATCGGGGTACCGTTATATGAGGAGCTATACGAAGATGTGGACCTATATAGGCAATTCTCTTTCAGAGAACTCCTCGTGTGGATTTTCAGACTATTCCATTGGAAAATGTGGCTAAATCATCAAAATACCGAATATCAGGGCATATCGTTATATATACGATAGCGTGGACCTATATAGACAATTCTCTTTCAAGGAGTAAAATGCTCACAAAAACTCCTCGTGTGTTTTTCAGACTATTTCATTAGAGAATGTGGCTAAAATCATCAAAATACCGGATATCGGGGGGTACCTTTATATGGGGCTATAGCCCATCTTCGAACTTGACCTGCCTGCAGGCAAAAGAGGGATCTCTGCAAAATTTTAGCTTTCTGTCTTAATTCGTGTTGACTGTAGCGTGATTACAACAGACGGACAGGGCTAAATTGTCTTGGAATTTTACGCTGATCAAGAATATATATATTCTTGGAAATGGCAGCGTACGACGTTTTTCATTATGTTAAATACAGCGTTTAGATTAAATATATATAGTTTAAAAAACGTGGCACAATGTATAAAAAGTGGCACAAATATTCAAAAAGTGGCTCATTTAGGATCAAAATAAAAAAGTGACACAACCGTATCAAAGCCCAAAAAAAGTGGCATAACGGTCACGCTGCACACAAGAATGGGTCCCCTAGGTACAATTGTCTGGAAGAAATGGTTCGACATAAAATGGTTGATGGTTTAAAAAGGCATATGCAATATATGTGTTGAGGGTAAGCAATGTCGTCTTTTTAAAGATAGTCGTTTAAAGTCCAGTCACATTCTCGAAAGAATCCACAGTGATATATGTGGACCAATTGATCCGCGAACATGGGATGGTCACAGGTATTTTGTAAGCTTCATAGATGATTATAGCCACTTCACATTCAAAGATTTATGGATTGAAGCAGCCCTAACAGCAATATGTCTTATAAATGGAAGCCCCTCCAAATCTCTTTCTGACAAAAAGACACCTGCCAAATCGTGTTACAAGTTTAAGCCTAACACTTCAAAACTAAGAGATTTTGGATGTAAGGCATTTGTCTGGGTTGCTTAACAGAAAAGAATAAACTGTATTTAAAATCACAGGATATGGTAATGATATGTTTTACAGGTAATGGATACAGATTGTGGAATCCAAAGACCCGAAACATAATTATTGCAAGAGATGTTCGTTTTGTCGAAGACTGTTTTCCTTCTTTGCAACAGATTCAGGAAAAGAAAATCCTCAATTGCTTATAAGATCTCGCAGTAACGCTCCTGCTGAACATTTCAGCAATGATGAAAGTAATTCAGATGATCAATTGGTTTCTGCAGAAAATTATACAGATATCTATACTGCCGACGATGAAACTACTATTAACGAAAATGAAGCCACAGCTACGCAATCTGAAGCCCCAAACTCTGAAGATGTTTCATTGGAGCCAAGAAGAAGCGAATGTATCAGACATGTTTACAAAATCATTGGATACAAGAAAATTCATAAAGTTTCCAAATGAACTACAATTAAACGTAATGATTGAGGGAGGTGTTCTGAATATTTACTTTTTTAAAGAACTCAGAAATTTTAATACTTTTGCATTTTTTGTTGAATACTTATTTGTGTAGAAAATATTTTTTTACTTCAAATTCGATTCTCCTTCGTGTACATACCATTTTTCCAGTTTGTTCTCTAATTAATAAAACTTTTATAAAATATGAATAACTACCGCGTTTTATCCCTGCAAGAATATTATAAGAAAATTGTATGCAAATGTGAGTGTGATATCCAAGGTTATGCGTACAAGTTGTAATTATTTTTTTTTAAGTCAAGTGATTTTGAAAACCTGGAGTCCAGGTCCTGGACAAATTAACTTTGGGAGTTTTCCTGTAAAGGTGGGTCAACGTATCGCGCAAAGTTACATAACGCACGTCATTTATGCTGTTTAGTGTTGACAGACCAAGAAAATCAATGGTTTTTGTGGGTCCACGGAGTGACAGGGGAACTTGAAGAGAGTCTCGTGGAATTTGCCGTCTATTCCCACTTGAATTCCACACTATAGCGCTCTCTGGATATTGTGTCAAATTAAAGATAGAAAAGTCATCGCACATCTTAAGGTGCTGTATGTGCGGTGCGTGTTTGTCTATTTGTATATATTGCCGTCCCTACGTTCAGAGCCATTAACCCGTCTTCCTAAAGCAGCACTAAAACAAGTGTATGCATTGGAAGCAATGTAGTTGTTGTGGACAAAATCCATCACTATACAAAAACAAAAAAAAAAAAAAAACTTTGCTGTGAAAAAGATCTGCCAATAGAACTTGAGTCGAACCTGGAGACTTTCTAGTGTATAATTCGCATATGCTAATTTGCAATAAGTTCGAAATATATACTACTTTCCAGAGAACGGCGCTAGTAGCCATCATCCACACCAATATACCTGATGAGCCGCTTAACCAACGGCGAAACACGTCGCATAGTGGTGAGTGTGTGATAGTGTCTATCAGGCTTTCCTTTTCACTGCAAATTTCAGATCATTAAGCTCGTCTTCGTATAGCCCCCATATAACGGAACCTCCCGATATTCGGCATTTTGATGATTTTAGCGACATTATTCACCGGAATTGTTTCAAATTTTGTATTTGAAGTTCGAAATGGATACTGCAGGCTAAGACAGAGAATTTTCTATGCAGGCCCAGGTCTTCGTATAGCCCCCATATAACGGTACTTCCCAATTTTCGGTATTTTGATGATTTTATCGTCATTGTTCACCGGAATTGTTTCAAATTACTTTTTAGAATTCGTAATGGGATCTACAGTCTGTGACAGAAAATTATATATGAAGGTCCAGGTCTTCGTTTAGGCCCCATATATCAGTACCTACCTAAATTCGGTATTTTGACGTGTTTAGGTACAATACCCATCGAAATCGTTTGAGATGTCGTCTTTGAAGATCGCAATAGATGCTACAGTCTATAACAGAAAGTTGTCTTTGCAGGTCCAGGTCTTCGTATAGCTCTGATATAACGATATCTCCCTATATATGGTTTTTTGATAATTTTAGGTACAATACTCACCGAAATTGTTTGAGATGTCGTATTTGAAGATCGCAATAGATGCTACAGCCTGTGACAGAAAGTTGTCTTTGCAGGACCAGGTCTTCGTATAGCTCCCATATAACGATACCTCCCTCTATATTTATATTTTTCTGATGATTTCAGCTACTGTATTCACCGTTTATTTCAAGTTTCAAATGACAAACAATGCTATGTAAACCCCAATATAACGGCTACATTCTTATAGACCCCAATATAACTTTTTCGGTATTTTAAGAGTTTAACAGATTATATTTTTTGAAAATTTCCAAATGGTGGAGGGTATTCAAAGTTCGACCCGCCAAACATACTGCTTTTAAGTGGTTTTCTTTTTGGTTATGGAAATTTTTGTGAAAATTTAGCCAAGTTTTTATTTAAACAATTATGGAGGGAGTCGGAGACCCCCTCCTCCACCTATTGGGGATACCAATAAAAAACACCAACACCAATAAAATAATTTTATCCCAATCCACGGACAAAATGGACACCAAATGCAATTACAATTCGCTAAATAATGGAAATCTACTGTACACGCCAAACCATCCAGGGCCATTTTATGTCATAGTGTCGTTAGAAACGCCAATCAGCTCTAGGAGAAAAAACTGCAAACTCCATTTGTATATACGTCTAAAGCAAATCAATCTCACTATCTATGCTTGCAAGTATGTGGGATATAACACTTTTCGAATGACTTTCAACAATTTGAATCTGACAAAATATAGATTGGTATTATTTTTGATGGAATTCCTACAAAATATATATGTGCGGAACAAAAGTAACACCGGGCTTGTATGTACCACCTGTTCGGCTGTGTTTAAACTGCGGTCGTTTAGGCCACATTGCTCTTCGTTGCAGGTCGACGAAGAAGTGTCTAAACTGTGGAAAAGAAATTCTATGTGCCACATATTGCAGTAAGGAAGATATATGTTTAGATTGTCGTTCTACAACAACCTGCACACGAGATGCATACTTTGCAACAAAACAGATCATTTTGCAACAAATACCAAAAAGTGTTTGAAGTGGAAGTCTCAAAGAAATATCAGCAGCATTATGACCCTAACAAACCTATCTAGAAGGGAGATACTCGAAAATTATCCAGAGACTAGAAACCGTTTCCAAATTCTTTCTACACATGATTATAATAATGAGTTCCCGCCTCTCTTAACAAACAGGACTCCAAAAATTAATATACATGATTCATTAACAAAAGAGTACAAGTATTAAATATAGCAAAGTTGCGACTCCAATAAAAACAAGTAAAGAAAGTCTTAAAGTCGGGCGGGGCCGACTTTATGATACCCTACACCACTTTGCTAATTTAGTAGAGCTCCACATAACAATTAAAAGTTTTTATGAGAGTTCAATCATACACGCTACGATTATAATTATAATTTAAAGTTCAAAAGACTCAATATGCCGAAGCATTTGAATCTTTTAAATTCGGACTTGTATTGCCCATTTGGTGCACATTTAATTTGAAATCGGATAAAGATATATATGGGAGCTATATCCAAATCGGAACCGATCTCGATAAAATTTGGTAAAGATATTTCTGAGTGGTATTTGATATATTTCCCTGAAAATCTTGTTACGGAGTGCATATTACGGCTGTGGGTAACTAATATAACATATCGGATGAACATTATATATGGGAGCTATAGCTATATCTGAACCGATCTTCACCAAATTTGACATACTAGCTTCTAGACTCAATTCGGTCGTAAGTGCCAAATTCCATCCCATTTGGACAAATATTAGATGTTTGGTGCACAGAAAAGGGCAAATCGGACGAAGATATATATGGGAGCTATATCTAAATTTTGACCGATTATCTCCAATTGCAAATAGGGTTCGTCCTTGGGCCAAACAAATGATCTGGATAGGGCAATAAATGCGAACTGTACTTTGTTTACAAAAATACATGGACAGACGGACTTGCATAAATCGACTCAGAATGTGATTCTATGCAGATCATCAAAAGGAACTATGGGTCTATCTCGTTTCCTTTTGCCTGTTACAAACAAATGCACAAAGACATAATACCCTGACCACCTTGTGGCGTAGGGTATAAAAATCAAGATGCCATTGCAAAACCAATCCACGTAAATCCATCCAAAGCAGTATTTGATCATCAAAATTTTTCTAAAGTTACTGAAATAGAAAGGGCATTAGCATCATTTTCAAGGCAAATGTCTACAATACTTACGTCTCTTAATTGCACAGAAGGTCTTGATGTTTTAAAGAAATTTTAACAAATAGTCATTCCAGAATCAGCAAACAACCAAAGCCCATATCCACCAGAAGAAAACGCTAAAGTGCGATTCATCTGAAATAACTGCAAATAAATAATAATAAAATAATTTTTAATCCATGAACATTTTACAAAGCAATATACAAAGTCTTAAAAAAAACAAAAACTCTCTGGACTTCCATTTAAGAAAACTTAACATCGATATATGCTTCCTTAGTGAAATTTTCAATATAGATGAAAAACAAAATCCAACATTTCAAAATTATAATATAGTTTCAAAAAAGAGAAAAGATAATTATGTTGGCGTCACGATAATTTTGAAAAAAAAAATGTTCAAAAGAATCTCTTTTTAATCATCACTTGACATATTAATTTGTCAAACCACTAATTTAAACAACAATCTCACTTTAGTTTCACTCTATTTCCCACATTCCGTGAAAGCATAACCATTAAATATGAACTTGAAAAAATAACATCATTCCTCAACTCTAATACAAATACTTTTATCCTTGGCGATTTTAATGCTACACACTCGACCTTTCGTGTTTTTTTTTTTTTTTTTTTTTTTGATTCGCAACGTGGAAAAATGCTTAAAGAATTTTTTGATTATTCAAACTTTTCATGTTTAAATGATGGAAGTTACACTTTTAAAAAACGAATCAATGACAATACGGGCTATCATTTACCAACTGTCTCTATCTTGGGAAGTTCAAAACACAATAATTGGGGGAAGTCACCACCTCCCAATAATTCTTAAATTAAGCGATACTATTTGCAACGGTAAAAAGTTCTTAGCGAAAAAATACTCATAAGAAATCTTGCAATACTTAAATTGAAACCGGACTGCGATGAAATCAACTTCGCCATGTAAATTGAAATTAAAAAAGCTACGTATGTTATTGATAACAAAAGAAATCCAAAACTTTGGTAGGAACCTTTTGTCGAAAAACTATATAGACTGCAAGTAGCCGCGCAAAAGAAATATGATCTGCATAGCAATGACACTAATGCTCTGAATCTTTTCCAAGCCATTAAAATTTCAGAAACGCCACAAAATATGCGAAACGACAATCTTTAAAAGCAAAAATTACAACTTTAAATAGTGAACTTAACCCAAAATCATTATTTCGTCCGGTATAAAGGATGTTACAAACAATTTGTCATGTAATAACGGTGGAAAATGGTCGGAAATAACAACAAATTATTTTTAATAAATTTAAGGGATCAAGTCTTGAACAAAAGCCATATTACCTTCCCTCCCAAACACGCATAGAACACCCGTCGAACTTGCAATGGAAGAATTCATATATGTCTTAAATAGTAAGAAAAAACCTTCAGCTGCAAGATTAGATGGCATAACATATGAGATGATAAATAACTTATCAGAATCATCTAAATATAATCTTTATCAAGCAATGAATTCAGGAAACAAGATATTCTTCCAACCAACACATACGCATACAGGACACACTTTTCATCGTCCATGTGTATCAATCATTTACTATACACAATCAATTATCAAAAGGAAAAAGGAGCAAAGTAATACTACTGTCTCTAGATATTGAAAAGGCATACTATTGCGTAAATCTATTATTTCTTTATACAATTTTTGAAATTTTATTTCAATTTGTGGATGATTTTATTTACTATCCACTCACAAGGAATTTGAAATGGCAAATGACCAATCTTCAACATAAAGCGAATCATTTTTACCATATTTTATCCCGCTTGAATCTTAAATATAACCCATCGTCATGTATGTAGCAAAGGGTCCACGTAAAATTCAAATATAAAGTTACAAAACACCAAAATAAACTCCGTTGAAAAAATAAAATTCCTGGGTAGACATATTAAAAACAGCCTTTCGCTAAAGGAACACTATGATGAAGTAATTAATTCCTGCACCAACTCACTAAACGCTATTAAAAATGATAAACAACACCAAAAACGGATTACTCCCGCACATATCAATAAATTTAACAAATCCCTAGTTTTTTCTAAGACAGAATACGCAATGTCATCCATGGCCCACATGCCCATAATATCTCAACAAAAAGTAACTAGCTTTCAAAAACAAATGCTTAGAAGAAGTCTTGGACTTACTCCTTCCACACCAATACACAACATCTATGCACTGGCTGTTATGCTTCCCCCCTGAACAACGTTCTCAGTATCTCGCAGCTAAAGAACTAATCAAATTCAAAATATTCAACAATACGCTGTACAACTGCATCACCACAGATTCCTCTGTAAAAACAAGTTTGGGTTTTTATCTACAACAAATTTAAACACTTCCTTGACTGAGTTATTGTAAATCAGAAAAGGATACCTGCAAAGAAAATAAGCTTTTTAGATGATCTATTTAAGGCAATAAAACACACCAAGTCCAATGAATTTTTTAGAGCAATTCTTCAAGAAAAACTAGACTACCTTAAAAACCAGGGTCATTCCATATGGTCAACTGATGCATCAGTCACAGACAATAACACAGGTTTGTGCGATCTGCAACATATCAATGAAACAAATTATGTTTTCAGAATAACATCAAAATCTCTTCTCTAATGGGACAATTACATGCCATAAATAAAGCAATTGATGTAATGATCGAGGAAAACACGCTAAAAGCAGTCATTCTTACGGACAGTAAAAATGTCTGTCTTACACTCAAGACAAACCACACACCATATTATCTAGTAAACATAATTCACAAATAAACAATTCTAACTTACAATCGCTTATTTTCATATGGACTCCCTCGCATATTGGCATACCAGCAAACGAACTAGTCGATTATGTTGCTAAGCACGCAGCTACAGTTGGCTCTATAAGTACCACCAATGCTTCAATTACAGACGCATACTCTGCAATTTATGATTATCTATGGAAAGAATGGGTAGATAAGTACAAGGATGCATCCGAAACTAAGGGTACTTACTTTTCACAATTCAACCCACCACCAAAATCTTACTGGTTCATTAGCAAGCAAGATGTCACCTGGCAATTATAAAGCTAATAAATCGTTTACATCGTAGACATTTACGGCAAAACATACTTACATCGCATTAAATTCGAGAGCTCAGACATCTGCACACTTTGTGGAATCACTGAAAGTGAGAATCACCAAATTTTGTTTGCCCAAAATTCTGCAACGAAAGGAAACAATTTAAAATCTTCGAAAGGTACAAGGACTTACCATCAATTTAAAAATATTCTCGCCAGAAAATTTCATCGAACTATCAAACTTCATTCACAAGTGCAATCTTCAACTCTGATTTTCTCTAACTGTGAGATAGCAGAAACATAAACAAACAAATACGATTATTAAGTAATCAATAACCAGCAGTACTTGGCATATGTGTACTTCGGGTACCTGCCAACCTGACGAAGAAGGAGAAGACAATAAAAAAATAAGCACCCGATAATAAATGTATTTTTCAGAGATACGGCAATTAAAATGAGAATCATTGCAAATGTTGCTGGTAGTCACTGTATTTTTTCACAATGGTATCTTCCTTTAATTTAAAAGAAATTAGAAGTGAATCATTTCTTTATTTGAATACAGTTTGCTGGTATTGCCATACTATCAATATAAAATATGGCAACATTAATTCAGTAAACTTTAGTCTTATGCCGACATCAGCAACATCAAGAAAAAGTGACAGCACCAGCAGCAGTGACAAAACCAGCAGCAGTGACAACACTAGCAGCAACAATAGCAGCAGCATCAACAATAGCAGCAGCGACACACTACAACCCACATCAACAACAACAGTAAAAAAAAAACAATGGACACGCGAGTAGTATTAAAAAAGTAAGATATATTAATTGTAAGATTTTAATAATATTAATTGTGAGATTAATTGAGTTCAAAGAATTGATCGATTACCTAATTCTGCTCGGGTTTTTTGTTAATGAATAATCAAAATATAGACCAGGAAGTTGAACTTTTAACAAATTTATTTAGCCAATTTCCTGTGGACAGAAAGCCCGACAATAATAATATAATGATTACGACCGCAGAAAGCATACACGTGCTCGTTGACACCGCCATTTCGGCAGCCTTGAAGGTCCAAAGAGACCAGTTTGAAAAACAAATTTCGGACATAAAATATAAATTCGATAAATTTTCAATAACGGCCGCGAAGTTGTGTCTTATAAAGAAATTGAAATAAATCCACAATGTCGGTGCGATGAGTCCTTAGACGTCGTGAAATCCCTACCTGAATTCGAAGGCAAACTGAATGGTATGTTTCATGGCGCCAGGCTGTTCACACAGCCTACAAGGTATTTGAGCCGCACAACGGCAGCTCTAAACATTACCAGGCCGTGGCAATCATTCGAAATAAAATAAAAGGTTCAGTCGATATGTTGTTGTCTTCTTTTAATACAGTTTTAAACTTTAACGCCATAATTGCCCGCTGGATTTCACATACTCGGACAAACGTGCGATTTACTTAATTGAACAAGAATTATCCACTCTTCGTCAGGGTAGTATGACACTGTTAGAATTCTTCGACGAGGTAGAGAAAAAATTGACTTTACTTATAAATAAAACTGTTATTCGTACGAAGTTGCTGTTGCAAATTCTATGAACGAAAAATACCGGATGGATGCGCTACGCGATCTCATCTCTGACATCAAAAAAGATTAAGTAACGTACTTTTTTCAGCGCGCCCGTCTGATTTGCTATCAGCCTTAGCGTTAGCTCAAGAGGTTGAATCAAATCGGGAAAGGTATCAATTTGCCTCAAACTTCGCTAAATCTCGAGTAGATAGGAACAAGAATAAAATGAACCACATTCAGCACACGGAAGTGGCTATAATAAAATCCACATTTTATTAAAAGAATTTAAAATCGTACAAATAGGAATGAATACAATTCGGTAGAACCCATTTAAGTCGACGAATCCGTCCAATTCAGACAATCATCAAAATTCAAGCCTTATATGCAGGACTTACCTTAAAATGAAAACCTGTCACAACCTTTTCAAAACCGATCAAATTGGCAGACGGGCCAAAACATCAAAGAATAAATCATCTTTCCCAACATATGCTTTAACGCTCTCAAAACTACCACCAGGTTGCGGGGACCGAGGCAGACGATGTCGAAATTGATGCTCAGGACGAATTCGATCAGATTAATTGTTTAGAAGCAGTTCCCTGCTACCGTTTGTAGAAAGAAAAGTGGCAGGGAAAATCATTAAACTACTTCTAGATACGGGTGCTTCGAAGAATTATATTAAACCTATAAAAGGTCTAAACGGCATAGTTCCAGTAAGCAACCCATTTATGGTGAAGTCAATTCACGGCTTCACAGCAATTAAAGAAAAGTGCACGGTGAATATTTTCAACACCAATAGTCCGTTTTTATACCCACCACCATACTATGGAGGGTATATTAACTTTGTCATTCCGTTTGTAACTCCTCGAAATACTCATGTCAGACCCAACAAAGTATATATATTCTTGATCAGAGTAAAATTCTAAGTCGATTTAGCGATGTCCGTCTGTCTGTTGTAATCACGCTATTTTTCGAATGAATTGAGATAGATGGCTAAAATTTTGCACACATGTTTATTTTTCCAGTAGGCAGGTTCGTAAAGTTCGTAAATATAACGGTACCTCCCTATATTCGGTATTTTGATGATTTTAGGGACATTTTTCACCGGCATTGTTTCAAATTTGGTATTTGAAGTTCAAAATGGATACTACACCCTAAGACAGAAAATTGTCTGTGCAGGTCCAGGTCTTCGTATAGGCCAGGTATAACGGTACCTCCCTATATTCGGTATTTTGATGATTTTAGCGACATTATTCACCGGAATTGTTTCAAAATTGGTATTTGAAGTTCGTAATGAATACTACAGTCTAAGATAGAAAATTGTCTGTGCAAGTCCATGTCTTCGTATAGCCCCCATATAACGGTACCTCCCGACATTCGGTATTTTGATGATTTTAACGACATTATTCACGAGAATTGTTTCAAATTTGGTATTTGAAGTTAGTTATAGGAACTACAGTCTGTGACAGAAAATTGTCTGTGCGGGTCCAGGTCTTCGTATAGGCCCCATATATCAGTACCTCCTTATATTCGGTATTTTGATGATTTTAGCGACATTATTCACCGGCATTATTTGAAAATTGGTATTTGAAGATCGTAATGAATACTACAGTCTAAGATAGAAAATTGTCTGTGCAAGTCCATGTCTTCGTATAGCCCCATATAACGGTACCTCCTGATATTCGGTATTTTGGTGATTTTAACGACATTATTCACGGGAATTGTTTCAAATTTGGTACTTGAAGCTCAAAATGGATACTACACCCTAAGACAGAAAATTGTCTGTGCAGGTCCACGTCTTCGTATAGCCCTCATATAACGGTACCTCCCTATATCGGTATTTTGATGATTTTAGCGACATTTTTCACCGGAATTGTTTCAAAAATGGTATTTGAAGTTCGTAATGAATACTACAGTCTGTGACAGAAAATTGTCTGTGCGGGTTCAGGTCTTCGTATAGGCCCCATATATCAGTACCTCCCCATATTCGGTATTTTGACGATTTTAGGTACAATACCCACCGAAATTGCTTGAAATGTGGTATTTGAAGTTCGTAATGGATACTACAGCCTGTGACAGAAAATTGGCTATGCTGGTCCAGGTCTTTGCACAGCTCCAATTTAACGGCACCTCCTTATATACGATATTTTGATGATTTTAGCTACATTATTCACCGTTTATTTCAAGTTTCCAATTTGAATATGGTAATGGCTTATGACAAACAATGCCTATGTATGTCCACGTCGTATAGACCCCAATATAACGGCTATATTCGGTATTTTTAAATTCTAACAGAATTTTTTAAGGATTTTATTTTTTAAAAATTTTCAAATTCGTTGCAAATGGTGGAGGGTATTAAATGTTCGGCCCGGCCGAACTTAGTGCTTTTTAACTTGTTTATCTTACCTTCACTCTCAACGTTTGACGGTATCATTGGCCTTGATCTGTTAACACAGACAAGTGCAACATTGAACTTTGAGAATAAGTAACTGAAAACTATAAGAAAGATCAAAGTTTTAAAATGTGTAAATGTAAATTTTACACAAGTGGTGACATAAAAGTGCCCCAGGAAAAATTAGGGAAATGATAAGAAAAATGTTGGCTGTTTTTGCAAATCCCAAAGAATCACTCCCATACAATAGGAATATTGTAGCTACTATTCGCACCAATAGTAGTGTTCCCACCTACTCAAGACTATACCCATATCCCATGGGTGTAGCTGACTTCGTTAATAACGAAATTAAAGAACTTCTGAAGAATGGCATAACACGGCCTTCTAGATCACCCTTGTTGATAAAAAGGGAAAAGTTGTTGTGGCGTTATCTGGAAATTGGCCAAGCATCAACTTTCTAAAACCAAAAAAAAAAAAAAAAAGATAAAGGGAAAAGATGAATATGGCAACACAAAAAAACGATTAATGATCGATTTCAGGAAATTAAACGGGATCACTGTCGATGACAAATAACCAATACCCGAAATAACCGTCATTCTCTCAATCTTGGTAAATCGAGATTCTTTACGACGATTGATCTCAAGTCAGGCCTTCACCAAATAATACTATCAGAACAGGATCGGGAAAAACGGCATTTTCTATCGGAAATTGGAAATACATATATTGTAGACTTCCTTTCAGCCTTAAAAATGCCCCCAGTATTTTCCAAAGGGCCATTGATGATGTCCTGAGGGAACAAATTGGGAAATCATGTTATGTTTATATTGACGATGTCATCAT